TCGAGTTGCACATTTAGAGGCAAAATCATCAATGATATCATCATATTGAATATTTTCCAACATATCTTTTTCAATAGATAAAATTGCTAACGCATTCATTCTACCTTGGGTCATTGTGGTACGCAAGTAGGATTTTAATAATTTCAATTTTGAAAAGCTTCTCTCGGCAGATGCTACAGTTACGGGTATCGTCAACAATATTCTATAAGCAATCACGACATGCGGAAACATATCCATCTTTTTTACAAACTCTAATATTTGAATAGCGGCCCATGGCTTACTTCTATCATATGATTCATTCGGTAACATCACTCGTAACACTTCTAATTCTGAACATAAACATTTTGCATCAATATCAGAAGCATCACCATGTTTCAAAGCATTTTCAAGTTTCACACAAGCATTCATCAAATCACCATCATCCAATGAAATCAATTTCGTAACATCAACTAAGAAACCAAATATAGATTCAAAGTATTGCAATTGTTCAAACCTGCTCTTCAATTGACCTATAGAAATATCTACAATAAAAAGAAAATAATCAATTCTAAAAGATTCTTCGGCAGGTTGATTTTCTCTTTCATTATTAGAAACCTCATCGAAGTTTCTTTTTCTACAAATTTTACGTTTCTCATGAAAAAGAGGTTCAACTTCTAGTTCGTAAGCTATGTTTTTTGCCTCAATTATGGCAGAAGCAAACCCGTTTTCTCTATATAATTCAAAAAATGAAAGAAGTCCGGCCAATTGTTTAACAGCAATGTCAAGACGCATGTCCTCGGATTGTAATTTTTTGCTGACTAAGTTAATTTTATGCAAAATATCATGCCAAATCACCAAACTTAAAATAAATTCGAAACTTGAAAGTTCACCGGATGCTAAAGTTTCGGCATTTCTACTTAATTTCGCATCCTCACTGATTTCTACCAACTTAAACAAAGCTTCTCTAATTTTAGAGGCTTGAGTTTTTATTGCTTTTACAGATTCAATATGACTTTCCCATCTTGTTGTAGACAGTGATTTCAAAGTTAATTCATCAACATACTCAAGCAAAACATTCCATCTCTTTGTAGAATTAGCAAATACGTTGTATATGCATTGACATGCTCCAAAAAATGATTTTGCTCTAACACAAGAATTTGCCATATGACAAACAACTAAATTGAGACAATGAGAACCACATGGCATATAAAATGCTCTAAAATTAATATCAAGCAATCTTTTTTGCACACCTTGATGTTTACCTTTCATATTAGAGCCATTATCATAGCCTTGCCCCCTCACATTATCAATATCAAGTTCTAAAGATTGTAAAATAACTTGCAATTCATTGAAAAGTCCCAACCAGTTGTATCTTCAACATTCAAAAACTCTAAAACATATTCTTCAATTTTAATTGGAGAATTTGACATGTCTACACATCTTATTATAAGAGTCATTTGTTCTTTGTGACTTGCATCCGGTGTACAATCAAGAATTACCGAAAAATACTTTGCCTCTTTAATTTTTTTAATTATTGCTTCTTTGACTTTTGAGGCTAAGCAACACATCAACTCATTTTGAATCTTATGACTAAGAAAATGATAATGAATTTTTTTTTCTCGAATTAGTCGAAAATGTTCTTGCATTATAGGATCAAATTCCGCAATCATTTCAAGTATGCCCAAAAAATTGCCATTGCCATCTTCGTAAATTTTTTCATGTGTACCACGAAATGCCAAATTATGCGTAGCAAGACATTTAACAACGGCAATTATTCTCAACATAACATGCTTCCAATGTTTTGTATTGCTTTTAATTTGTTCTTGTAATTCTTTATCAATTGTGCTATTTTTGTTCAATCTCATTTGTAGTTCAACACAAGCTCTTAAATTAGTAAGGTGCTCTACGCTATTTTCATGTTGTTTCAACTTGGCACCTAAATGTTTCCAATCATTCACTCCATCGGTTGCTAAAGTACTTTTGGTGTTCATAACTTTAAACAACTTACAACAAAAACAAAAAACTTTATCTAACTCCTTTGAGTAGACCAACCATTTTCTATCACGAGTCTCACCATTTGGTAACATTTGAACATAATATGTATAGGAAAAACGTCTAGATTCTTTATCCATGGGAAACTTGAAATTTTCAGCTCTTTTAGGACCATTTTCTACAAGCAAATCTCTCATTTTTTTTATCTAGACCATCCCATGTTCTTGGGTCATAAATATTCAAAAGATAACTTGGTTCTTCATTCACATCATTTTCATTCTCATTAACATCTTCATTAGAATTATTTTGATTTTGTAAAAGTTCTTCATTCACATTATTTTCACTCTCAAAAAATTCTTCACTCAAATTATTTTCATTCTCTCGATTATGAGTTGAATTTCTACCGTGACATTGAACTTCTTACTCCAAAGTTTTTTAATTGAATCTCTTAAACGTTTATCCTCCTCTTCTTCGTTTTTCTTTTTTTCTCGTTTTTGAAATCCAGAGAGTTGTTTCATGATTATAATATATGATTCAATAAATTTATTGCAACAAGCAAGCCAATAACGCCCAAACAACAACCAAGTTCAAAAATAAAAAACTAAAAAAAAAAAAGAAAATTTAACAGTTAATAAAGAAGGATAAAACCTGATATTAGCAAATTCTTCTCAATAATCTTGACCCATGCCTTATGCCCTTGGAGGAGTTGATAGTTTGTTGGAATTGAACAATTATATTGCTCAAGAATCAAGATTAATGGAGAAATTTGAAGAATTCCTATGTAGAAGCCCTAAGCAGGAAAGAAAAAGAAATTAATTTGGGTCTCTCACCGGTAAACCCTTCAACGTCTCTTTCTCTTTTTTATTTTTTTATTTTTTTTTACTTTTTTATTTTTTTCGTGTTTAGGGCTGAAATCAATTTTGGGCCCCTCCTCTATTTCGAACTTCAAAATTGTTTAGGCATATATATATATATTAAAAAAAAATTATGGGCCCCCCAGGATAATGGGCCCTGGGCAGCTGCCCCACTTGCACTGCACCAGGGCCGGCCCTGATTAGGACTCTAGGGTTTTATTATCTTTAAATAGTCGTCTTGTGCTAGAGTTTGGATTATGCCGAGAGAAATATTAAAGAACGGGTGAATGGCAAAAAGGCCCATCACATGGGACTTAAATGAATTTTGGTCCACAAAAAAAAAAACAGTCTCTCACTTAAACCCATCCCCATGTCTTTAGTCTAAAATACCCTCAGTAATATAATTCTTATCAATTCCACCCATTATGCTCGAATTTCCTTAATATTACACATTGACCCCTGATTTAAACAAATATATCACATTAACCCCCAATTTTTTTTTTCAGAAAATAATTTTTTTTCTGAAATGTTTTTTTTCCGGCCAGATTCCGGCGTTGACTTTTTTTTTTTTTTTGAATTTTTTTTTTCTTAGAAAAAAAATATTTTAATTAATATTACTGTTTTGGCTACTAAATTATTGTCTCAGACAATAATATATTATGAATATTATTTTCCAGAACAGTAATATTATTAATATTATTGTCTAAGACAGTTAAATTACTGTTGGAGACAGTAATTTAGCATCCAATGCAGTAATATTAATTAAAATATTTTTTTTAAGAAAAAAGAAAAAAAAAAAAGAAAAAGTCAATTTAACAGTTAAATTACTGTCTCCGACAGTTAAGAGACAGATATTAAGGAACGAATACAGTAATAATAATTAAAATTATTTTTTTAAGAATAAAAAAGTCAATGAACGGTTTAATTACTGTCTCCAACAGTTAAATAACTGCTGGAGACAGTAATTTAGCAACGGATACAGTAATATTAATTAAAATATTTTTGAAGGAAAAAAAAGTCAATTAACAGTTAAATTACTGTCTCCGATAGTTAAATAACAGTCGGAGACAGTAATTTAGCAGCCAAGACAGTAATATTAATTAAAATATATTTTTTTAGAAAAAACAAAATTATAAAAATAAAAAAATAATAAAAAAAGTCAACGCCGGAGACCGGCCGGAAAAAAATTTCAGGAAAAAAAAAGTTAAAAAAAAAAAAAAAAGTCAACGGCGGTCTCCGGTGGTGGCGGGTCAAAATTGGGGTCAAAATTGAAATTAGGGTTAAAATTGGGTAATTGATGAAATTGGGCTAAATTGGGGTGTAAATCATGAAATTGGGTTTCAATGAATTAAGGATAATTTTGGTATATATAAAAGGATTTTTCTTATTTGCAAATAAGTTTGAATGGGCTGGATTTATTTGAAAGGCAAAAAAGTTGGATGTCCCTCTTTTAATTAAGTGCCCTTGTCATGGGCCTATTTGTTATTACCCCTTAAAGAATAGATTTTACGTTTCGTAGGAAGTATTTATGATACACAAGAGATCGTATCAACTATATTGAAGGAAGACTGATCTTCCAATATAGTTTTATCAAGTTTATTCGCCTATCAATTTCTGAATATTTTGTCTTTGATGGAGACTGCACATTTTATCTTTGATTCAGTACAAAATATTCAGAAATTGATAGGCGAATCATAGACACTAAACAAATCAATATTTGGGGTCGGTTAAGAAGCTGTTTATGGCGGCCGGTCACGACCGATTTGGTTCCGTGGACAGTGCCGTTCCAGTTTCGTTGTAACGTCGCGACTGCGTCGCGGCCGGAGCGGACACATTTTAATTAAATTGTTAAAAATATACAATATATTTGAAATATGTTTTAAATAACAATATTAATATTCAATAATATGCAAAATATTATTACAATTTCAAAAATAAATATTACAAAGAATATAATGAAAATACAAGCATTATTTAATACCATGTAGAATACCGAGCTGGAATTATATAAGATATAATTGAAAAGTGAGGCCAAATATTTGTGATTCAGGCGAATCTCCATTCTATAACGTAGCCACCACCATCATATTATTAATTTCTTTTTTTTTTCTTCTATGTTTTTTTTTTTACTTATTTTTTTTAGTCAAGTTTTTTTTTTTTTTTGTTGTTCAAATTCTATTTTCTTGTTCCGGCGTCCTTTCGGTGCCGTTCCGGCCGCATTGGGGCCGTTCCGTGGCTCCATCTCGCCCATCCCACCGATTTCTCGGCGTTCCCCGTTCTGGTTAGGGATTCCGGAAGGAAGGGCTCCGTTCCCGTTCCGGAACGGCCGTTACGACCGTTCCGACGCCGTTCCGGCGAACCATGCGACCGAACCTTCGAAGAGCAATGCAAAATAATTCTGCAACGGCTTCAGGGTCAAAATCACATTGCAACTCTTCCTCCAATTCTTTAATTATTGGGGGTTCGATTTTTCAGCAAGTACCGGAGATATCGGGAAGCCGCTACTAGGGCTAATACTAATAGTACTTCCTTGTCCCGCAGTAGCACCGCATTGTAATCCTACTTCCTTCTCGTGTCGGACTAGTAACTCCTCCGCCGCCGCCGCTACCTCAAGTTTCCGGTGGAAATTCCTATGGCATCCGCAGATCTCGCATTTCGAAGGTGATGACGTGGATTCCTTGTACTCCTGGCAACCGTCAGCCCACCCCAAGTAATGAATATGGGATTTGCGGCATTCGGCGTATTTTACAGCTTCCATGTTATTTTGATTCCTTTGTTCGATTACGCTCGTCATTTCTTGTCTTGCTGTAGTAGGATGAAATTTATGAACTATCAATTTCTTTGTTCAATTATAATTCGGTAAAATAATTGTACATATTTCAAAGGTTTAATATTATTATTAATTATGATTATTTCTTACTCTTTTCTATATAATATATTATATTATAGTTGTCATTGAATTTAATTTTTTAAGAAACAATGTCTCTATTCTTTAGGGGTAATTTAGGTCTTTCCAGTTTTTTATTCAAGGAGGTTATGTGCCTAATTTCATACCACAAGAGATTCATGTGCAAAATGTCCAAACCACAAAGGGTTTAAGTGCTATTTACCCAAAAAATAACTATTGAACTTATGCCTGCGTGGCTTGGCTTTTCCCCATTCGAATACATATTTTTGAAATTAGCTAAAAGTCCTTCAACTATAATTTTATTACTAATAAGATATGTTTTTGTATAAGGTTTCGATTGAAATCTATGTAGCACAGAAACGGGAACGCGGACACGGGCAAATAGGGAAACGGATATGGGGAAACTCCGTTTTCCAGAAAATTGGGTACATGTGTTGAGTGTAGATTTTACGCTTAATACGCTTACTTTACGTGGATCTTTTGTTTAGATTTAATTATATTTGTGCTTTAATTGATTGATTTTGTATTTTGTAGGTGAAAAACAAGAATTAGGTGTCCATGAAGGAAAAAGATCAAAAAGGAAGGAAAAAGTTGCAAATAAGGAAATAAATCAAATTGGAAGAAGGAATCTCGCCACAGCTTTGGCAGTGTCCACCATTTCGAGGATATATCTCTCATAAGAACTCCAAATCAGGTGATTTTGGCGGCATTGGAAATCTAATTTGAAGGGCTACAATTCTTATTTACACAATATTCATAAATTCGGACTCCAACATGGCGAAAATCGAAGAACAAGTCCTGATGGGGGGAATGTGGCGGAAATTGATTCCTATTAGGTTTCCACTACTTCCTTATCAAGAAAAGCCTATAAAAGCAACAAGTCTCTACACCATAAGCACGAAAATTTGACGCCACAAAACGCGAGGAACGAAGATCAACGAAGACTCAAGCATAGTTTTTCTTATTTAATTTATTTATTTTATTTTCTTTATCATAAGAATCACGAGTAGCTAAGTCTTTATTTCTAGAATTTTATTTTGAACCCTATGTGGGATTTATGAACCCAATTCTATGATTTTATGCAAGTTTTAATTCCGGATTATTTCTTCTACTTGTTTTATTAAGTGCATGAACTTGATCACCTTATGAACTTGATCGGATTAATAATTAGAACTGTGGTAGAAGAGCCTTTGTGGTATTAACATATGAATATAGTTAATTTCTTAGGTAGCCATTATTGAGATTTAAGCTTAATGTTGTGTTCTAGAATTAATTGCATAGGAATATAGTAATTGGATCTAGAGTATTAGAATCGTAATACACGCGGAAGCGGGTTATGATTATTTTAGCATCTCAGGTTAATAATCCGGGTTAATTACTTGCATACTTGAAGGAATTGGGGGAATAATAATCACATAGGGGGATGAATAAAATCCTAGGCTTGTTTACTCTGATTAAACCTTCGTTTTTAATTGCTTTCGTGCTATTGTTTTTTTTTTTTAATTTTCTTTTTAATTTAGTTTAATTTAGTTAATTCTCTCCAAATTCGACTGTGTAGGGTTGGCTTGATAATAATTGCTAGGATTTAGCGTCTAGGATTAAATAATTAAATATTCTCTGTGAGATCGATATCCGGACTTAATTGTCCACTATATTACTTGTACGATACGTGCACTTTATAGTGGTAAATATTATTATTAATTATGATTATTTCTTACTATTTTCTATATAATATATTATATTATAGTTGTCATCGAATTTAATTTTTTAAGAAACAATGTCTCTATTTTTTAGGGGTAATTTAGGTCTTACCAGTTTTTTATTCAAGGGGGTTATGTGCCTAATTTCATACCACAAGAGATTCATGTGCAAAATGTCTTTACCACAAAGGGTTTAAGTGCTATTTACCCAAAAAATAACTATTGAACTTATGCCTACGTGGCTTGGCTTTTCCCATTCGAATACATATTTTTGAAATTAGCTAAAAGTCCCTCAACTATAATTTTATTACTAATAAGATATGTTTTTGTATAAGGTTTCGATTGAAATCTATGTAGCACAGACACGGGAACGCGGACACGGGCGAACAGGGAACATGAACACGTGGGGGAAACACGTAAATAATAAATTTATAGGGGTGCATTCAAAATTTATAAAACAATATTATAGTGTTTAATATCATACCACAAATTACATTCGAGGCATATAAATTTATTTTAGTATAGAATTAACATCTACAAAAATATTAAAACACCACAAGAAGTGAAAAGAATACATACTATTTAAGATTTTTTAATCATATGCAATTCAGAGTATTTATTTAAAATAAAATTAGGATTTATTTTGCGTGGAAAATCGTTTCCAATTTTTCATTATTATCAGAAACGTCCCCACAAAGTTTAAATATTTATGGAAACGGCCTCGAAACGTTTCCGACAGGTGTCATGGAGTTTCATTTTTGAAACATTTCCGAAAAGTTGTATTAATCTTGAAAATTCTTTAACAACATACCTCATTATCTCATATTGATGGTTCGGATTTATATTATGAATTAAAAGTGTTAAGAAAAGTCATACCTTCTGATATAGATGAACCAATTGATGTACTTAATAGCTATTTTATCTATAGAAAAAGATTTATTAAAAGAACTAGAATATGAAGATCTCATTAATACTTGTTGGGTGCTAAATACCCACACGCAAGTGCACGTATCGCAAACAAGTAGTAAAGTAGACTCGTGAGAGTCGGATGTCGATCCCACAGGGAATACGCAAATTATTTAATCCTAAGTACCAAATTCTAACAATTATGATTTTATCCAGCCTACGCAGGGTTGTCAAATTAATTAACTAAATAAATTAACTAAATAAGAAAGTAAATAATCACGAGAAAATATCAATATAAAACGGATCTAAGATTTTATCTTCCCCCTATGCGATAATTCTTCACCCAATTAATCTTTTATCATGCAAGTTACAATTCCCGATTATTAACCCAAGACACGAAATTACTCATAACCAGCTGTCGCGTGTATTATGAGTCTATTATTCATAAGAGATTCACTATATGTCTATGCAAACCTAGTATGAATAAAGCATTAAATAACAAGTCTCGTAAACGGCTACCTAAGGTATTATCTATATGTCTACGATAATACATGCAATTAACACACTCATCCGGTGAAAACTACTCGAAGGCTCTTCTATCCCTTTTCTAATTATTAAAACGATCTGTCAATCAATTCTAACAATAACAAATAGCAACATAAATTAGCTACGTTCATGCGCTAAATAAGATCAAGATAGAAGAAATAATCGAAGAATTAAACTTGCATAAAAGTAGAAAAATAGGTTCGAATTACCACATAGGGTTCCAATAAAATCCTAGAATAAAAACTTAGCTACTCATGTTCTCTACGAAAAGCATAATAAAAATATGAAAAACCATAAAAGCTATGAATAAAAATAAAAAAGGAGAACTATGATGAAGATTCGTCAAGTCTTCGTCTTCGTTCTTGTGCTTCTTGATCGCGTGTAGAAAGATGAAAGATAAAAGATAGATGATTTAATTGTGTGCTCTTGGCCTTTAAATAGGGTGCAAAAATATAATAGGGCGGGTTTCCTTGTGTAATTGAACTTCCTTCAGTGCGCCACCTCGTCAATCCGGACGGCCGTGCGAGAATAAGCTTTAAAATCCGGACGGCCGTCCGGTCTTTAATTCTTCAGAATTTCGATATTTTCACTTTTGGCCCACTTTTTCTCCGAATTTGCAGTTTTTACCCCATAAGTTGCCAATTCTTCAATTTGCACCTAAAATACAAATAATAACCATTTTAAGCACCAATTATCGTTAAAACACACCAAAAGTTCCAATTAAAAGGTACAATTAAGTGTATAAATATACACTTAACACACCCCCAAACTTGAACTTTTGCTTGTCCTCAAGTAAAATCAATTTAAGAGCACAAAACACGACTATACATCTCATTACATAGATCGATTGGTCAACTTCGTGTTTTCAGAACTTGCAATTATGATGATAATTCCTAGGTATTCGCAAGCTTAACATTCAACGGCACTTAGTCACTCACTATTACAAAAAACCACAAATCATACAATTGCTTCAAGTATCCAATATTTGCAAGTTAAAAATAGAAAGAATTTATACTTACATGCATATATTTGACTCCAAATACTCACCAAATTATTCTACTCAACTAATATTGAACAATAAGCTATTGGGATCATTGAGACTTTGTGGCTTTCAATTGTTAGGCTCTTTGATCCGAGGTAGGTAATATGGGTATGTGTGGCTAATTTTTCTTGGATTGAGGTGATTACGCCAAAAATTGAAAGATAGGCGTTTGAAACAATGAATTCACCTCGATCTAAGGACACACACATAAACTCGATTCTCAAAAGTTCACTCTTCAACACTTTTGCCTTTTAGGCAATGGATCGAGTTTTCAACCCAATTCACAACTAGTCCTTATTTCTCCCTTCAAATCTATTCTTCTTCTTCTTTTTCTCTTTTTTTTTTTCGAAGAAGAAGAAAGATCTTATAAGAATTTTCGATCGACCTCCAAGGGATAATTATTCAAGAATCTCCACTTTTCTAACTTCTACATATTGGCTAAAAGAAAGAACACCTTTTCTCCAAGGCTCAAATCATGGTTCTAAGGATAAATTCGACAAAAAGGGTAGGCTTGAAAGGCTCAAACGGTTCAAAGAAGGCCCAAATCATATCCCAAATCACTTACTACCCAACACTTCGTATCATAAATGTCCTAAGGTGAGATTTAAAACCGAACAAAGCATGATTTAGCACAAATAAATTCCAAATTTAAAATACAATACATTCAACCAAAGCAATGCATAAAGCGTGAT